CATCCTACTGCCTAAAAACATATCCATGTATCCTCTATTCTGAAAAAAAACCTGATCCTTCCATCCCTACTATCATCCTATATTTCTTCTGCCCTTTGTAGTAAAACTCCTCAAAAGGAGAGTCTAATATAGATGCCTCCACTTTACCTGTTCAAGTGATCTCATCCTATCTCATCTCCTGCAACAGACTGCAACCTCTGCCATCCTCATCCCTGGTAAATATTGCCTAATATCTCTTCTGTCTTGAGAAGGCTTTCAACAATAGGTGCTTCTACTCTCTCTCTCCTCACTTTCTTAACTGGCTACTAACTACTAGTCTGGCTACTAACTTAATCATTCCACTAAAACTGCTTTCTCCAAAGTTACCAATGATCTCTCAGTTGCCAAATCCAATGGCCTTTTCTCAATCATCATTCTCCTTGACCTCTCTGAAATTTTTGACACTATTAATCACCCTCTCCTTGATATTTTCATCACTTGCTCTCCTGATTCTCTTCATCTCTATCTGGCCATTCCTTCTTTACCTCCTTCACTGGATCTGCCAGCAGATCAGATCTTCTAACTCTAAGTGTCCCTCAGGGTCCTGTTGTGGGTCCTCTTCTCTCCTCTCTCTGTACTACTTTTCTAGCTGATCTCATCAACTTCCATCAATTTAATTACGATCTTTAGGCCAATGATTATCCATTCTAACTATCCTGCCCCAAACTCTTGGCTGGCTTTCAATCTTGGATCTCCAACTGCCTTTCAGATAGCAGACATCTAGTAGATTTCTTAAATTTAATATTTCCACAATGGAATTCATTATCTTTTCCCCTAAACCCTTCTGCTCTCTGCCTTTACTATTAGTATAGATGGCAACACCAAATTCCCACTCCCTTAAGCTCTCAACCTGAGTCATCTCGGATTCCTCACTATCTCTCTTCCCCCTTATCTAATCTCTTGTCAAGATCTGTTAATCTTACCTTTGCAATATCTGTCAAATATGACCCCTTCTCTCTCCTCTAACACTGCTATCACTTTAGTGTAGACCCATATCATCTTATGCTCAGATTATTATAATAACCTACTTATGGATTGGCCTGCCTCTCCCCTCTCCAATCAACCCTCCATTCAGCCACCAATTTGATTTTCCTTTAGTCTGATTATGTCACAAACACACACACACACACACACACACACACACACACACACACCCCTCACTCAAAAAAATCTAGTGGCTCCCTGTTGCTTCCAGGATAAAAAACAAAATCCTCTCATGCTCAAAGCCCTACATAACTAGCCTCCTTCTATCTCTCCTGTCTCATTATATCTCACTCTCCAACATGTATTCTTTAATCCAGTGACACTGGTTTCCTGTCCGTCCCTTGAACAAAATACTTGATCTCTTGGATCCAGATACTGGCTATTCCCCATGCCTGCAACACTGGCTCTTCAACTTTGCCTCATGACTTCCCTGGCTTCCTTTAAGTCCCAACTCAAATTCTATCTTCTACAAGAAGCTTTTCATAACCCCATCTTACTTCTAGTGCCTTCTCTCCCTTAATTATTTCTATTATCTGATATATAACTTGATTATATATATTTGTTTGCATGTTGTCTCTCTCATTAGACTGTAAGCTCCTTGAGGGCAAAGACAATGGCCTTTCCTCTCTTTCTATACCCTTAGCATTTAGAACAGTGCCTGGCACATAGAACATGCTTAAAAAATGTTTGCTAATTGGTTGTTTGATTCACTGAAGGATATAAAATCTACACTCTTGATAATCATTTTACTTAACTAACCTGAATTCAGGTGCCACCTATGACACACATTAGCTGTCTGATCCCAGGCACGTAAGTCAAATAGGCACTAGACTATTAGCTGCAGAAAACAGAAAGTTTCTCCCTGACTCTCTACACCAATGAAATGACAACCCCTGTCCCTATCCCAATCTCTACTATTGTACTTCACATGGCATCCTGATGGCTACAAACATTTAACTTCTTTTTTCCTTCAAGGATATCCATGATGTTCTTTTTTCAGGCAATAGGGGTTAAGTGACTTGCCGAGGGTCATACAGCTAGCATATGTCTGAGGTTGCATTTGAACTCAGGTCCTCCTGACTCCAGGGCTGGTGCACTGTACCACCTAGCTGCCAGCACGGTGTTCTTTTCTAGCCTGATTTCTTCTGCATAAAGTTGTGGTTCAGCAATTTCCATAAGGACATGTAATGGCTTAAAATTTTTACATATTATGTTGAAGACGTCCATCCCAGGCAAGAGAAATATTATGGAAACAGTAGTAAAACAGTGTCATATAAAAGAAAACAAAAGCATTTAATCACCACTTAAAAAGAGTCCTTAATATTTAATCTTTTCATATTAACTACAAAAAAGGGAGAAAGATTCATTATTACATTTTTCTAAAAAGATGTTTCAAAATAAAATTTCTCATAGAATTTAATCTTTGTGCAATCAATGAATTAGTGTGCGTGGGTGTGTAAACATAAATATTACTCCATATTGGTTAAACAACAGTTAACTGTTAACAGTTAAAGGGCCCAGGTAGGGCCTGACTTTTGAATACATTAGTCTTGAAACCTCACCAATTGAGCAGAAAAGTTGTATGGAGATTCCATTCTGTTTCTACTACCCAGAACAACGAAGTAGTGGCATGTTCCTGTTATATCTGAGTAGCAAAGATGTCACAGCCATATTCCAGAGTTACCAACTATGCCAGTAAATCTATGGAACTATAGGAGAACACCCTTCCTCATCTCCTGAGCCCTTCACTTCATCCCCAAATCTCCAAGAGGGTAGAGTTTTCCTCCAAATATTTTAAAATTGATTACTGCTTGGAATTTATCCTTTGGTGATTTGTCTAATGCATTAGCTCACTTTATCACATGTGGATATGGCAAAATATTATCGTAATACTGAGCTTAAGTATAGGTAACATATGAAAGGTTTAGAGACCAAAGTATATGCCACTACCTTTCAATTAACATGTGCTATTACATAACCTTTACTTACTCATTCTTTTGTCCTAATGAGGGATGGGAGTTCAACGTACTAATAAGATAACAAAAATCTACATTGATCTTAAAGTTAAAGAACAATAAACACCTTAATGCATAATTACACCTTGTTTTTAGTAAAAGTAAACTTGATGATTCTATAAAGTTTGTAAATATTTCCATTTATGGCTAACAGTATAAAATGCATTTAATGATTAAATTGTTTAAAAGGTTGGTAAGAAAGCAACTCTGGCACACCCTTAAATTACTCAAAGGAAATCCAAAGTTAGCTTTTAAAAGTCAAAAATCTTTTGAAAAATTATCTGAAAAAAAATTTTTTTGAATCCAGCTCACTCTTGGAGAAATTGTATCCCTGCCCTGAATAGAATCTTAACCATTCAGTTACATTGAAACATTTTTTTCTAAAATAGAAACTATACACTATTAAAACTTGGTAATGATCTTAAAACAAGCCATAGCAAGAAGACCAAGTACATTTCCTTTCAACAAATCACAGTTCCTATGTGTTCAAACACCATGTTGTAAATTGAATTGTTATACGTGGAATTTAAGTTGAAAATTTTTCATACTAATATTTTTGAAGCATCTACAAGTTAGTAGTAATTAATGACGAAAGTGTGGAAATGCCAAGGAGCCAAAGAAAGGAGGAAACATGTCTGTATTTTATTCTCAGTGGTTACCACTGAGTAAATGTTTTTTTAACCACAACTATTAAAAGAGCATTTTGAAAAGCTATCAGAAAACACAAAAAACAAGTTTCTTTATGTTCTATTAAAGTAAACATTTTTCTTTTCTCTGTAACATTAGGACTTAAAACTTTTAAAAATTTTAAAATCATCAGAAAGTATTCAGAAATTCTCCCTTAAAAGCTGATGAGAAAAATCTCTAAGCCCTGGGAATAATGCAATAGTTGTGATATAATTCAATTCAACAAACACCTACTATGTGCTTACTATGTATAAGCTACTGTCCTAGGCACTGGGAATACCAAGCTGTTTTGTTTTTGTTTTTAAAAGCAGGTCCTTACCCTCATGGAACTTATGGCCTTAAAAGCCAAGAAGCCTTGAGACTGTATTTTATGGCATTTCAGGCAAATATTTACCAAGTGAAAATGAAATTCCAAGTACAACTTATATATTTCCTCTATTACAGAAAACAGAGTCAACTGTATGCTTGTTCTATAACAGTGTTTTAAATTTTCACTATTTTTCAAAACCAAATTATTTATAATGCAGTGACCCACAATGATTCCAGAAAGTTCATGATGAAACATGTCACCTATGTTCTAAGAGAAAGGTGATGGACTCAGAATGAAGAACAAGATGTATTGGTTTTTTGTTTTGTTTTATTTCCTCCTAGACATGGTCAAAGGAGGAATTTGTTTTGCTTGACTACATATTTTTTAAATGAGTTTTCTTTTTTTCCCTTTCTCAATGGGATTAGAGGGTGGGAAGGAGAGGAGCTGGATTTTTGTTGACTGGGAAAAAGTTTCTTAATCTGAAAAATCAAAGTGTTGGAATTCAGTGTTGTCAAACTCATAAAGGATCCCTATGCTCTGTAACATGACTTAGAAAACCACAAATTAACATTATTTATGCTGTATTATATTTTTATTTATTTATTAAAATATTTTCCAATTACATTTTAATCAGGTTCAGACTGTACTAGGGTTTGCTGCTACTGGTTGAGTTTGACACCTCTAGATTTTAATACAGACCTCCAATCCCCATGTAAGATGTTATACTTAATTAAAAAAGAACCTTTTTGGGGGTCAAACTCTTTGAACATTAATGCTATTTTACTCACTTAAATTGGATGGTTAACAACTGAACAAGGAAATATCAACATAATGTGCATCTATACACTTTTACATGTCCACACATTTAATTGCTTTTTTATGGTTTGTCTTTTTAGCACCCCAAAACTACGTACACCCAGAGAAATGAGATGGGAGGAAAATGATAAAGGAATCAACTTTCTTACCTGGTAGATATCAGAGAGGCTGCTGCTTCCAGAATCACTGGTGATGCTACATCCTGAATGACTGGAGGAAACGTGGGTCACCTGTGGGTGGAGACTGTCAGTAAGGTGCAGTTTTGTGAAATCTGCCGGAAGCTAAAGTGGGAGTAGGAAAAATAAGATTACAATTTGAATCATATTCTTCTAAACATTAATAAAAAAAATCATTTTACATATCACACAGTAAATTATCACATACATACACACACAAATTTATTGGAAAGATATTTGTGTATTAAAAAAGAAACTTAAAGGGCTGTTCATGTTTATACAATAGAGATGCATCTCCAAATTCAGTATGACTCAAACTCGTGTAAAAGAGATTTCCAATCCTAGCATATTTGATGGAATGATTGATAGCTTTCAATATTTATAAAATGTTTAGCAAATAACTGAAATCAGAGAGTTACAACTCAAATAGCATAATAGTAAGGAAGTTTCATAGCATTTGTTGAGGCTAACAAATCTGACTTTGCCACT